AAGATTGAAGGGAGGTACTTTCACTGTTCTCTCTGTCTGAAATTCTGAAGCCTGGAGGCCATCTGAGTTCTCCTTTTAGATTTTGGCAGTTATTTGAGAAGTGGCATAGGAGGGTAAGTAGTCACAGCAGGTTCTAGGGAAGGAATCACCACCTAAATTGCTATTCTAAGGTAGTAGACAGGATTCAGGCAACTTCTGAGGGTTGGATAACTTCTAAGAGGCGAAACCCAAGATTGAAATGGGGTATTTATGTGCTTCAGTCTTCTGTATGGCTGACTGGCTTATTATTTTCTCTTCGGAGAGTGTGTACAATTCCTGTCTCTTGAAGTAGGTTACTTTAGGCTGCAGGCTACAGGACTGGGTTAACGAAGAACTATAATAAAGTTAGAGAGTCAGAGTTGGCTTGGGACAAAGATGAACTTAAGCTTGGATGGTGAGACAGAGAGGTCAGGACTAGTGTAGTTACTGGAACTTTTGCATTATTGGTGTGTTTAGCACAGTCAGTGGTCCTGTTGTAATTGGCAAATCTCTATTAAGAAAATGCTTGGTCATGTTCTTAGTCTAGACTCTGTACCTGCACTTTCCAGTACAGTAGCCACATGTGCCACTAAGCAATTAAAATGTAGCTGGTCCACATGTATATATATGAAGGTGTAAAATACATGCCAGATTTCAAAGATTTAGTATAAAAAAGACATAAATATCATATTACTATTTTTAATAGCTTGCATGTTAACATGGCAGTACTTTGGATATCTAGGGGTATCAAATACGTTATTAAAGTTAATTTCAACCTGTTTCATTTTATATTCTAGTGTGGCTTATAAAAAGTCTAAAAATATAGATGTGGCTCACATTTTATTTGTATAGGACATTGCTATTCTGCACAGTGACAGACTCAAAAATTAGATAATGCTTATCCAGCCAGCTAATGAGTCTAGTTACATCCCTTTCAGGAACCAGTTTGCCCAACTATAACATAAGGAATATTAATAGTAGATAGGAAAAAGTTGGAATTTGGGAAGGGAGGAAGGAAGAGGAGGGAGAAAGGAATAGTATAGTGGGTCACATAAGCAACTATATCTATATATATATCTATATATATATCTATATATATATACACACACACACAGATAAATATATATATATATATATATATATCTGTGTGTGTATATATGTGTGTGTATATATATATATATATATATATATATATATATATATAGCTTTGGAAACAAGATAAAAGAGCAGAGACCAAGTACACTCAAGCTGTCTGTTGGGGAGGGAGGATTAAGAAGTGGAAGAGAGTATGATGAATCTGTGTCAAAATGCTGTACTATATTTCAAAATTTTCATTGGTAAAATTAACGTGAAATATTAGAGAGTGATTTTGAATATCATCTATAAATGCAGGTAGAATGTCCTACCCCCACCCCAACCAACGCCTAAGTTATGCTGCACTAAACAGATTTATAAAAGATAAACTTTTCCGTATCAAGCATCTGAGATACTCTGTGTCTCATGAGTCACTGAAAGGCCAGAATCATTTCAGACAGTGAACAGATCATCTCTAAATTTGTTTTTAGTTCCAGTATTCTATGCTTGATTTTCTTTGGGCAGGACTGCAGTCAGTACCATGGAGAGCTCATGAGGAACATGAGAAAGGATGAAAAGCATAGATTGCTTCAAAAAGAGCTAGTTTTAAAGAACAGCACCGATGAGAGCTCAAGACACACACACACACACACACACACACACACATACACACACACACACACACACACACACACACAAAGACTGTAGAATTTGGAGGAGATGGAATACCTTTTCTTATTTATCTCTGATTTCTGTCATACTTCTATAATTTATTCATAGAACAATTCAGCTATCTCAGGCTAATGGTTGAGGAAACAACACACTGCTATGTTTAAAAAGGATAACCAACAGGGACCTACTGTACAGCACAGGGAACTCTGCTCAATGTTACGTGGCAGCCTGGATAGGAGGGGAGTTTGGGGGAGAATGGATACATGTATATCTATGGCTGAGTTGCTTTGCTGTGCAGCTGAAACTGTCACAACATTGTTAATTGGCTATACTCCAATATAAAATAAAAAGTTTTTAAAAATCTCAAAATATTAACTATCCTTAGTTCACATAAAGCAGACAGTGGTAAACTTGGGATTCTCTTTCTAAGGTCCTACTTGCTAATGCAAGATATGTAAGACAGAGAATATTTTTTCTTTTTCTTTTTTTCTTTTTTTTTTTTTTGGCGGTACGCGGGCCTCTCACTGCTGCGGCCTCTCCCGCTGCGGAGCACAGGCTCTGGACGCGCAGGCTCAGCGGCCATGGCTCACGGGCCCAGCCGCTCCACGGCATGTGGGATCCTCCCGGACCGGGGCACGAACCCGTGTCCCCTGCATCGGCAGGCGGACCCTCAACCACTGCACCACCAGGGAAGCCCCGACAGAGAATATTTTACCTAAAGAGAACTCCTCTTTGGTTAACTTCTCGCAATCTGTAGAAATTGGCATTTTCTTTAAGAGAGAGTTCTGGCAGGGAGGTTAAGAAGACAGTTGTTGCAGACAGGTTAACTTGATTAACATGTCAGCTCAGCTATTTGTGACTTACTTAACCTCTCTGAAATTTATTGTCCTCATCCTGGACATGATAATAATGCTTACCTATAGTGTTGTTATCTCACACATACACACAAACACACACACATGCAAAAGAGTTAATACATGTAAAATGCTGAACAGAATAACTGACACATAGTAAAGACTCAGTGTTAACTGTTATAATCTGCAAAGGCCTGTGAGGATTTAGCTGTGTAATAACACATTACTCACTCTTGAAAGTTGAAATTCCTGGGAATCTGATTCTGAAATGGAGAGAAGTTTTCAGAAAGTTTATTATGGAGTGCTGTTGGAATCAACTCTTGTCAAAAGAAGCAGAATTAGGCAGTATTGAGAAGGAAGTAAGATTTGCCACAGGGATAAGATATGTTGTGATATAGTTTCTTGTTTTTCTTTTTCTGAAGTCATCATCTCTCATCCAGTTTTTTTTTTTTTAAAGTATAATTGACTTACAATATTATAACTAGTTTCAGGTATACAACATAGTGATTCCATATTTTTATACATCACAAAATGATCACATAAGTCTAGTTACCATCTATCATCATACCAAGTTATTACAATATTATTGGCTGAATTTTCTATGCTGTACTTACATTCCCATGACTTATTTTGTAACTGGAAGTTTGTAGCTCTTAATCCCCTTCACTTATTTCACCCATCTCCCCATCTCCTCCCATATGGCAACCACCAGTTTGTTCTCTGTGTCTATGAGTCTGTTTCAGTTTTGTTACGTTTGCTCATTTATATTGTTTATTAAATTCATAAGTGAATCCATACTGTATTTATCATTTGATCTATTTCATTCAGCATAATACACTCTCTAAGTCCATCCATGTTGTCACAAATGCAAGATTTCATTCCTTTTATGGCTAATATTCCATTCTCTTCTATCTATCCATCCATCCATCTAGATCTAGATGTATAGGTATATCAGAACTTCTGTGTCCTCTCTTCTATGGATTGACACTTAGGTTGCTTCCATATCTTGGGTATTGTAAATAATGCTGCAACGAACATTGGGTACATATATCTTTGCAAATTAATGTTTTTGTTTTCTTCAGATAAATACCTAAGAGTGGAATTGCTGGATCATATGGTAGTTCTGTTTTTAGGAGCCTCCATACTGTTTTCTATAGTTTCTGTACCAATTTCCATTCCCACCAACATTCCACAGGGGTTCCCTTTTCTCCACATCCTCACGAACACTTGTTATTTGTTGTCTTTTTGATAATAGCCATTCTGACAGGTGTGAGGTGATATCTCATTGTGCTTTTGCCTTTGGTCAAGGCAACTCTCTTTAGTGAGGCAATTCATGCAGAAGGCTGTTTGTTAGCAGCACTCCCAGGAACTGGGAACTAAGTCTTCATTTCTCAAAGGAGCACCCGGCAGCACCTCACAGCATCCACGAAATTCTTCATGCTCAGTGTTATTACTTGTCAAGGAGCTCTCAATATCCAGGAAGGCAATAATGTCTGTTGGGTTTTGAGAGTGATTCAATAAAAACACATTCTTTATTTTTCTCTTGAGTTTGAAGCCAGTTGAGAAATAAGATATAGGACTGATACACATAGAGTTAAAATGTCAGTTTTATTACTGATAAATGCAAATTGGAGAATATGTATTTATATCATTCAGTAATTACTCCATATATCTCCTCTCTGGAACTGAGCCTATCCCCCAAACTGCTGGCCTCCCTCTGCAGAGTCAGGGACAGACACTGCCTGGAATGCATACACCTGGACAAGCAGAGGACACCTGGGGCGTGAGGGCAATCCATGCAGAAAGAAGAAGCCTCCCCAGAAGTAACTGAGCCTCGTGTCCTCCATGCCTTTTCCTCATTTTATCAGAGGTCAGAGAAGAAAGCAGAAAGTGTTTCCATGCCTTTCTCTCATGGGGAGTAGAAAATGAGAACACTTTTCATTGTGCAAAAATAAGGAGTGGGATTTAAGCATTCCTTCTTAATTCTGTTACTTCCTCTGACTACTTTTGGTCTTCCCCACAGGCTTTGTGTCCTCAGAATAGCTCAACAGAAGATGTTATCCTCATTGGCGTCTTCTAACAAGGTCCTTCTGTCCCTGAGGCTAGCTTCAGGCTTCTAAAAAGAGAATGTGTAACTATGAGTCTGAACTTTATAGACATGAAATGCTTTTTTTCCCCTCCACGTAGCACGTAGTTTAAAGATACACATTCTACAAGACTAATTATGAAAAAATATGATTGTCTTACCACCCCCATTCAACTGATGCTCTAGAAAATGGCAACTTTCAAATATTTCGCTTCCCTTTAATATCTACCTTCATGTTTCTTTCTTTTTTCTTTTCTTTTCTTTTTGGCCTTGCCTTGCAGCTTGCAGGATCTTAGTTCCCCAACCAGGGATCGAACCTGGGCCCCCAGCAGTGGAAGCGTGGAGTCCTAACCACTGGACCAGCAGGGAATTCCCTTACTTTCATGTTTCTTAATACTATACTCACGTTGGCACTTCTTGATTTTTCCATTTAAAACATTATCTGTTGACTTCTCACTATGGAAGAAGAAATGCTAGATTTTGGGGGTTTTTGCTGCTCACTTTCCATATGTTCGCTTTTCATCCCCCATTCTACCACCATAATTATGACATAATTTCCTTTAGATCAGAATCAAGACATTGCATCATTTTGACTGTGTCAATGTTATTCACAATTAAGCCATGTACGGTACTATGACTACTTTTTCTTTTATGCAAAACTTCTCAGTTTCCCAGGAATTAAGAATGTTCTTACCTTTTGTGTGGGTACTGTTCCATTGTCTTACCACTAATTCATCCCTAAATTCTTATCTATTTTGTATAAATCTCTTCCCCATATGTTAAAAACATCATGTATTCAATTACTTTTATCTTGAGGGAAGCTTTTTTTTGTTCCTTCTGGCCTGCTCCATTCTGAACTGATTTGTCTCTAGGACTGCTATGCAGCTTTTATGCCTCCTTCCATTATCAAGTTGGGGATTTCCTTTATCTGCCTTGATTCCTAGATCCTATTTTAGTTTCCTGGTTTACTCTTTATTTGGGGGGTAATACCTCTTCTAGCATTTTCTTGAGAAAGGGTACAATGGAAGGCAAATCTTCTAAGACATTACATGTCTCAAAATGCTTTTATTTATTTTCGTCTACTTTTGGGAAGATAATTACAACTATGCACACCTGTATGGTTCAATCCATTTATTCAGCTTTAATACTGTTTGCCTTCTATTTACTTCCAGAGAGTCCTTGTCCTCTGGTTATCTTCTTTATAGTAACACTCTATTCCTGTTTGCAATATTTTCTTTTATAATATTTTACTAAATGTATTATTAGAGAAGGTGTGGTTTTTTTGTTTGTATGTTTGCTTGTTTATTTGTTTTTTATGTTTTCCTCTCTGAGATGATTCCTTGTTTCCTCCAGATATTCTTATTGTTTGTTTTGTTCTTTGACTTTTGCATGGCATTCTCCTTGAATTTCTTGGGATACTTTTTACTACATGCTCATTTAATAGCACAGAGAGCCTGATTACATGCTAATCATGTGTGTGTGTTGGCGGGTTTTACTATAGGTGGAACTGGTTAGGCTTTTCACTGGGAGCTTTAAGTTTTTTCTCTTGGACTTCAGACTTCCTGCCTGGACTGTATAATTCTGGTTACAGACATTCTTAGAGCCTTGTGGGAGAAGAGTATCATATCACATCTCTGATCTCAACTGAGTCTAGTTTTTACCCCATCCAGGGATGACACTTCCACCTCTAACCTACCTGCAAGATGTGGGGGGAAAGTTGCCCAGATAATGCTAGAGGAGATGGGAATCTCTGATCTAGCTTCTTAAAAACAATCTTCCACCTAATCACTTTCTTCTTTGTCCCACCTTCATCTCCACCACTCTAGATTGCTGATATTGGCCATTAAGCTTATAGGAGTCTTTCTGCGGAGGGTAAATTGGGTTACTCCTCTGTTTTCTGTGCTACCAGTTGAGTGTTCAGTATGCCCACACCTGGTAAGTTAGATTCACTCATTCTCCTGCTTTTTGGCCTGCAGCATTTGGTAATTTTCATCTTTTCTCCCATTCCTTTTGTATTCGGGGTGCAAATCATCCTCTTGCTGTTGTTTTAGTTAGGTTCTTAGAGAGGTGGCAAAGATAAAAGTGTTTGTTCGATATGCCATCTTTAACAAAAATGTCTTCTTTTTATTGTCAGTGCTGTGTTCTCCCCAGACGCATACATTTATTCCCTTTCTTTTATCTCCCATATATTCATGTCTTTATGTTTAGTAAATATGTATTTACAAATCTGAGAATCTTCTGAATCTTTTCAAATTAACATACTAAATAGAGACTTGATATCCAACTGCTATCTCCCTGCAAACTATCCAGAACAGGTCTTACACATTTCATCTTAATGACTACTTTAGACCCAACATAATTTTTATTGATAACAGTAATATGGTAATTCATTATGGTATGCTGTTACCCAAGTGCTAATTAAAAAGAAAAATAGTTGAAGGATAAAAGAGGGCTTGAAAGCACATCACACAAAAGTTCCTTCCTAATATATTTCCTGTCTATCACACTTATTACTGCAGGGTGGGTTGACAGGTTAATTATGTACTAGGCAGGAGAGCTGGTACAGAGGATGTTACAATCTCAAAAGCAAACACTTATAATCACTTTATCTAAATATAAGACAAACTCACCTTGGTGAAGGACTGCATTTAGTGATTATATGTAAGGCGACCTCCCTATGTATAGATTACAGATGGAACCTAGGTGAATGTTACACTATACAGCTAGTACATATGCTGACCCTGCAGCAGTTATCTCTGACTTATATCTAGGGATTCTGTCAAAATTTGCAAATTCGCTTTATTCTTTCACCACTGAGAATTCTGATTTCTCCATTTCCTTCTCAAGCCACAGTTTTTAATAGCCAATCTTCCACATGGTATTCAAAAAAGTACATATTGTATATAATTGAAAACTGTTATATTCATAGTGTTTATTTATTTATTTATTTATTTATTTATTTATTTATTTATTTATTTATTGGCGGTACGCGGGCCTCTCACTGTTGTGGCCTCTCCCATTGCGGAGCACAGGCTCCGGATGCGCAGGCTCAGTGGCCATGGCTCACGGGCCTAGCCGCTCCGCAGCATGTGGGATCTTCCCGGACCGGGACACGAACCCGTGTCCCCTGCATCGGCAGGCCGACTCTCAACCACTGCGCCACCAGGGAAGCCCATGTATATTTATTTTTAAATGATGAGAATTTATTATTTTGCTTAGGGAGGACCTTTACCCCATGAAGGAATCTCCTGTCAAAATACTGCTGGTGGCCCCCATCCTCCTCTATCTTGTCCTAAAATATGTCTGGGCCAAGAAACTCATCTCATCTTGGACAGCTCATTGTACCATTTGGGAGTCCCAATAGAAAGTTCTGGTTGCTGTTGTTTTATTTTGTTTTAGATTGAGATGATACTTCCTTGTAATTTCTTTCTAATGACATTAATTCTTTCTGGACTTACACATAAACTCTTAACATCTTTCACTAGAAGATTTTCTAATGTCTGAATATAGTTGATGTATCTCTTGCAAGTTCTGTGTTCTCTCCTGTATTCCTACTCATTTTCTTCTTTGCTTTTACTTGTCATTTTTGCCCAGAATCTTCTTTATGTTAGTTGCCATTCTCCAGAAGTTTTGCCATAATCTTCCAGATGAATAGTTCATAACTTAATATACTACCTTAGATGTATACGTATACAGATTAGAGTGAACCTATTAAACGTGTTGTTTTGAACATTATACTTTTACTGGTGCAATCCAAGACTCTAAGGGATGTGCTGGCAACAGCTTCTCATTGTATTGCCTTATATGAAGCACAGAATCTTTTCTGTCCCCTCAACTCAACTGTTGCTCCCTAATAAACATGATTTTTCTATTTCTCATCAAAAATAGTTTTAGACTTTAGAAAAATATTAACAACATACTGCTTTATGGCGTTCTAAAATTTAGTTGTTTTTCAAAACTTACACTTCTTCCAAACATGGGTACATTATTTTCTGCACTTAGAATTTATTTTAACTCATTTCTCTTCATTCTTTGGCACCCAGAATATGGTGAATGGTTAATACTACTTAATTCACTTCAACTTAACAATCAAATACATATCTATGGAACAAATACAGCCCCAGGTACAGTATTTAGCGCTTCTGAGGCACATATTAGCAAACCAATAAGGATCCCAGTCTTTGGGAAAAGACAAAATGTGAACAAGTAACTTTCTAATAGAATGACGCCTGCTGTGGAAGGTATATTATAGATATAATAAAATGATGGTAAGGCAGGATGATTTGTCCCACCTTCCAGGCTACCCTGAATGTGCTATGCCATTGGGTGGCTAAAATTATACTGTTGGGCCATGAATTGATATAACACTTTGATAACTTTGCCTGACTTGACAGCTTATGAATGATAATGCCACCTCAGTAAGTCTACTGGCTTGTTTATATTGCTTTATTGGTGTCATCAGATGCTCGACTCTGAGAAAAATAGTAGCCAACTATGAACAAAGCCAAATACAAGTTATTTAGATTTATTGATAAATACCCTCTGAAGAGCAAGAACAATTGTCATTTTCTCTCTGATCATCCTTGACCTAAGTACAATGCTTTTCTCCTTGCAAAACATTTCCATACTGGCAATTCTTTGAGCCTTACAGTAACATGATGATGTAGGTAGAATAGAGATTGCTGTCTCCACTTTGCAGATGAGAAAACTGAGGGGATGTGACTGGCTTGGCCAAAGTTGTAGGACCAGTATATGGTAGAGCCACTGTTCTCTGAATCCTGGCTTTTTCATTCTACCAAAAGCCAATCTGAGGGACCAGCCATTTTCTTGGCGCTCTATCTAATACATATGTTGGAAGAGAGAATGTTTAGGTGATGCACAGAACTCACAGGCATCATGCATGGCTTGTGACCTTTACTGAGCGAGGATTACACAGCACAGATCCAAAAAAGCAGAGGTTTGAGGGGAGATGCTGGGCCAACCTAATTTAGACCTTCCTTTGTGAAAGCTAAGCCAGTGAAACCATGTGATGGATGGATTCTTTTTAATATGGTATTATTGTCAGGGAATAGCTTCAATATGTACCATAAACATTAAATGCTAAAAATAATAACAGCAATTATAGATTGTTCTGACACCAGAAGAGTAGATTTATGCTTCTTAAATGCATTCCCTTAGCCAATAAAATGGCCAAATCACTTTTCTGGAAACTCTTTTCCTCTGTGTTAGATTACCAAGAGATGGCAGCATTCCATCCATCATTCAGCAAGTATATATTCCTTGCTTGAAAACTAAGATTTCCTCTTCCCAATGAAGTGTTGAGCACAAAGAATTAAATTTAAAATATGAATCTGTTTCATAATCATCCA